CACATTGATGTTCGGTATCATTTCGTACGAGAAATCATAGAAGAAGGTGGAGTCACGGTGAAGAAAATTCATACTACAGAGAATCCTGCTGATATGCTGACAAAAGTGGTGACTGCGGTCAAGTTTCAACATTGTTTGGATTTGATCAACATTGTTGAACACTGAAGATTGAAGATGAAGACACAACCAAAATTTGTTATTGAGAGAAAATTGAAGATGTGGAATTTTGCCAAGGTGGAGATTTGTTGAATGCCAAAACTCCCACATCGGTGGAAGACCAAATTGGTTGAGAATTTTTCCCTATAAAAGGAGGCCTAATGTTTAGGATTTAAACACACCTCTCATTTGCCTTCTTATCTTCTTAAGGCATTTGTATCTTCTCTCTTTAGTATTATTTCACTTGTATTTTTGGAGTGGAATAAAATATTGGTTGTGTCCGAGGAAGTAGGCAAAATTAGCCGAACCTCGTAAATTTTGGTGTTCCTTTTATTGTTGCTTTATTGTCTTATTTATTATTTGGTGGCTGTCATAATTTTTGGTATAGTAGTTGTGACTCATTCACACTATATACATTTGGCTTCCGCAACAACGTCTCTCTTCTTTTTTATAAAATCAACTCTTTTCCCCATGATTTCACTCTAGTCCTTAATCTCGTAGCCATTATTATTTTATAAAAAGTAAAAAAAAATCGCAAAAAGAAGAATATATAGGTCATTGAAAAAAAAAGAACATAGGTCACTTTAGTCCTTAGTCTTTAATCTCATACCCATTATTATTTTATAAAACTAGAGTGAAACCATGAAAAAAAGAAAAGAAGAAATTTGCTTATTATAAGAGGAAGAAAGATGCATTTACAGCAAGGGCGCGTTTTAGTATTTGGTTTTATTTAGTGGTGGATTTTTATTTTTTGGGTATTAATTATTTTATTTCATCTAAAATATAAAAAGTCCATGTGGACTACGACGTCATATTTTTCCACGGAAAAGTTTTGATTAATCGTGTTGAGTGACCATCTGTATGCAATAAAAATAGTTGAGTGACTTTCATGTTACAAATAAAAGAAAAATGACTTTAAGCTTTAATTTTAGATAGTTGGGTGATCATCTGAGTAATGAAATTTAATAACTTCAGATCACAATAGCTATTTATTACCAAACCCGGTACCGGTGAAATACTTCATCTCAATAAATTCTTATTCCAAGCCTTCGCTAATGATAAAAGAAGCATGTAGAAACTCATAATCACCGATAGTATCAACAAGTAGTAGTACTCTCTCATATGGTAAGACCCATTGCTTGTTTTAGATTGCCTGAAAGCATTCTCTTCCAAATACACCCAAACCGAAGAGTTTAATCCTAATTAATGTGATATACTATTTAGCCATTTAGGAAAGTGAAAAAAAAGGGAGGAAACTAAAAGAAGACTTTTATCGGAATTCTAATGAAAGTCTTTGAATGTACTCAGGTTTCTTCTATGAAAGTCTTTGATTTCTAATGAAGACTATATTTGTTCTACGTACTTACACATGGAGTCTCACCGATCTTTTATGAAAGTCTACGTACTTACTTTTATGATTGGTTTACTGTACTGAAGAAAACTATAAGAACACAAAAGTTATCGGTTAGTAATGTTAGGACCGTAAAAATCAGGTATCATATGGAAGCTAGCAAAGCAAATCTTGAACGATCAAAGGCGGACTCAGGATTCGCGCATGACGGGGGCACCACTGTATATGCTAATCACCAGCAATAAAATTCGGCATGCAACTCTTTGAAACTTAATGATTATGATGACTTATCATCCAAGTATTAACAAAAAAAATATTCTAAAGAAAAAGAAAGCACTAAACGGGGAGAGAGAGAGAATTCTTCGCAATAGGGCGTTCATACGTAAAATTATAAAAGACTTACTAAAGAAATTAAGATTAAGAGTATGTTATTACTAAAAGAATTGAAGAAGAGTCTCAAACTCTTAGTTTCCATTGCTAATTCAAAGTGATTGTTATAGAAGATTGTGGTAGAAGATTTGTATTTTTCTATTTGTGGAGCGATAAGTTGCAATTTGAGGCTTTCAATTCTAAGGAAGGAATTTACAAAAAAGAATAAAATCAATTAAGTTGACTATTTTGTATTAGTACTAAATTATAATTGAATATTAAAAAAGAAGAAGATTAAAGTAAAAATAAAGTAATTTGCTATTAAATAAAAATTACATTGTATTCAAAGAACTAAATAAAAAAAGGAGAAAAGACTAAGGAAAGCTTCGGGGGGGTTTCGAACCTGCGTCACCACAGCATAGGAGAGAATTTAAGTGCCCAAAGCAACCACTTCTTCCATCCATCACTTTGTCTTTGAGGGCACCATTAAAATATTTAAGGGGTCCCCTATATAAGTACACATATATATAATATGTATATACAATATTTTTGCCGAGGCTAACGGGGTCATGTGACCCCTCAACTACCAACCTAGGTCCGCCCCTGTGAGCGACGATAAATCATACAACAAAGGAGAAATATACCAAAAGAGACACAAATATTTAACGTGGTTCGATCAACTGACTTACGTCTACCGCGGAGATGAACAATCCACTATATAAAAAAGAGAGTACAAAATATCGAGAGAACAACCTCACGAAGAGGTAAACATAAGTGACACACTACACTTGTCCTGTAAAGTTCTCCCCCTAAACACTACTCTCAAGCTCCTATGGCTACATTGTGGATGCTGCTGAATGAGAAGGACAGATCTTCAATTTATAGAACTCCAAACATTTTCCTACACGAAAAAGGACTAGCCAAATATGAGAGATTTGTAGTTTCCTTCTACAAGAAGGAAAACCCAATTAAGATAAATATGTTGCCCTTTCCTTCAACAAATAGGAAAATCAAATATGGTAAGAAAATTATGCCAAACACCTAACAAGTAATTCTTTGAATGGGATCAAGCTATTTATAGAAATTTGGGGTCGGTTAGTAATTCTTTGAATGGGATCAAGCTATTTATAGAAATTTGGGGTCGGTTAGAAATTCTTTGAATGCATGTGATCAAGCTATATATAGAAATTTGGGGTCGGTTAGTAATTCTTTGAATGCATGGGATCAAGCTATATAGAAATTTGGGGTCGGTTAGTAATTCTTTGAATGCATGGGATCAAGCTATATAGAAATTTGGGGTACGCAGTGCTCTGTAGTCTGTACAATCAATGATCAACTGTAATTTTGGTGCGTTTGCGTGCTATATATGTTCTTTGATTAAGAATTTAGATGTAACAAAAAATTCAATAAGATAGATGAAACTCTTAACTTCCTCTCGGATAAGCTTCTTCAATGAAGCAACAAGGGCTCGGATGCAATGTTAGTGAGATTATTGATTTGTGATTTGAGAATCTGACTATGAGTAGGAAGAAGGGCACGGATCAATAGGAGTTTACATGTTTGCGACTATAAGGAACCTTTATGTTAAAATTATTATATGTAACCTTGCCTTTAACTAGATAAATCTATTAGATTTATATGTTCATGTTCGCAGTCAAACGTCTGATTTCTCATGTTGATCGTTCTCCATTATCAATATATCTTTATCTTGAGATATATATATATATTAGACTTCATATACCTTAAGGCTTAACTAAAGTTAATCATAACTTCATATAAATTAGTAAATAATAATGCATTCCTTATGTTATTTTACAACTTTAATCACATAACTTTGTGATTCCAGAATGTTTAATTTCAATTTGTCCTCCTATATTTGTCAAAACATTATTCACGACTTGGTTTATATGATATATTATTTTTTTAAAATTTATTTTAAGGAACTAATTCCGTACTCATGTATACATATTCAACAATGTGCAATTCAAAGTTCATTATTGTCGGTATGTATTTCTCGTGCAACGCATGAACTTAGAGACTAGTAGTAAAAGAAACTTGTAGAAACTAATAATCATCCATCACATCAACAAATAGTGTTTCTCTATAGTGGAGTAAGACCCATGGTCTGTTCACGTTAGATTCTAACTAGCCACTTAGTGCAAAAAGGAAATTAAAATAAGGCATTTTAACTAATATTGGGAATTTGATATTTCCCCTGCACTCCAAATGCACCCAGGTTTCTTCTAGATCGGCGAATAGGTTAAGAATGTTTTCTTTTGCCCGTATTACGTACTAGTAAATAAATATATTTACTTTTGCTCATTTATTTATTTTTAAAATAATCGATATGGTTTACTTATAGTTTTTATTACCTTGTTTTTACTATATTCCAATGCTTGTAATGAGTATTTTGATTTTCTTGTGTGCTTGATAATTATTCTACAGAATGAATTGATAGATTTTAACTTGTTTGGGCACAATAGTAAAATAACTTAGGCATCAATAATGAGATATACTTCAGCAAATTTCTTTTTTTATATAGTATCGAGAGATGTGGCGGGATGGATAAGATCCCTCTACCCTTAATTAGATGTATTCGGTTCGAGTCTTGGGAATCGATAAGTTCTTGATGGGGACCGCTTTTTCTTTGATGAACCCACCCGAATTAGTCCAACCAATGTATACGTAATACCAAATGATTATAATAAAATAATCTATAAATAAGAATTTGGTGGGAAGAAAAAAAGAAAGGCAGACCCAGAGGATTGGCCTGCCAGAAAATGCTCAATATTTAGTTTTCAAAAACAAATAAAATAAAATAATTAAGGATACCATTTCACAACACAATGGAAGTCCCACGAACTGATAGTGGTGAGCATGTTTAAAATTTTGGGTTGTCAATAATGTGTTATGTGGACATATTTTACCTGTTAATTTATTTTATATATGTACCTACTACGTAAACAATGTATAATTTTACTAAGCAGATTTGACTTTGCTATTTTCCACTGTGATTTTAGTGGTGAGCAATTATCACAAATTTATATATAAGCTTACCTGGGCCAGCTCTTTCAAGAAGAAGAAACCTTTTAATTTATTATCAACAAACTGATGCTCTTTGCTTCATATATTTCACTCATTTTTAAAAACATAATGTCATCTCCAGAAGTACTAGCTGGACTCAAAATTTGAGTTAAAGATTGCATCAGACAAGACAGAAATTTTAAGGTATAGTTCCCTCTCTAGATTGGAAATTCTTGTTTTTGCTTTAAGATAGTCTTGGCTAGATTGTGTAGCAATTGAAATTCTATGACAATGGTTATTTTTCATTTACGGGGGTTGAAAAGTGGCTTTTTTTAAATTTTATCCATAAATTGCTAATGTAGTGTTGAGTGCTTAATACTTGCATCTTGGAAAACATTAAAACTTTTTTCAGGAAACTAAGTCAAAAGATAAAAAAACATATCCTCAAAAATGTTCTCCGTCCTACCAAGTGAAAATGATGATTCGAGGCAAGTGCACATATAGCCATTCTCAAGGATGTTATCTAGAGATTAGCCAATACTTTTTTTTTCCTGAAATTTTAAATTAAAAATCTTTACTTTAGGACAATTCAAGGTATTTTTATTCTAAAAATTTGAACTGAAAAACTGAAATTCACGATGTATTATCTAATTTCTAAATAGCAGCCCTTTAGAGTGGCTACCTAGTGTCATTTCCAAGTTTTTTTTACACCTATAGTATTACCTCTAATCTCTTTCTATATTTCACTTAAACTAAGCTTAGAACTCTTTGTAGTTTATGAAAATGTCCTTTCTTAAGTATTATTTCTTCTTTGTCTATTTTTGCAACACTATCTAGGCGGATGCAGTTTATGTGTTGCAGGTTCAATTAACCTAATATTTCCGACATGAAGCACACATATGTGAAACTTCACTAAAACTTCTAACAAATATTTAACTCTAAACACATAATTTCAAAAGTACAATTAGTTAAATGCTAAGAAAATTAAAGATTAAACTCCGTCGAGTTTAAATCTTGGATCGGCCTGTATACTAACTGCTAGTTTCTTGATTAATCCCAGGGGAAATTTGGAGATTTTGTGACCAAAATGGAAGCAAATGAAGCAAGGGAATCATTTTTCACAACAAAACTATTTGGTCAAGAAACCAAGAGAACATGTGAAAGAATTTGGAGATGCTTAAAAAAAGATAAAGTCACTAGCATTGGCATATATGGAGTTAAAGGGGTTGGAAAAACAACCTTAGCCAAGCTAATAAATCATCTTCTCCAACAAAAAACTCAATCCCAAGTTATTTGGATAAATATTTCTCAAGAATTCAGCATCAAGGAATTGCAAAATGATATTGCTGCAGCCATTGGATTGGATCTTTTAGAGGAAGAAGATGAAGAGAAGAGGGCGATCGCGTTACACGAATCATTCAAAGGGAAAAAGGATTTTGTTCTAATTTTGGATGATGCATTAGAAGATATACCTTTAAAGATGTTAGGGAATCCTTTAAAAGTTGAAGGGGGAAGGTTGATAGTAACAAGTTGTTTGCTCGAAACGTGTCGAAAAATGGGATGTCAAAGGAAATTTGGAGTGAAAAAACTAGAAGAAGAGGAATCTTGGAGCTTGTTTATAGAAAAACTTGGAAATGAGAAAGTAGTAATTCCTCAAGAAGTAGAAGAAATGGCTAAGTTTGTGGTAAATAATTGTGGTGGCCTTCCACTTAGGATAATTACAATAGCTAAAAGCCTAAAAGGGTTAGAATTGGATGGTCTTAATAAGTGGAAAAAGGCCCTGGAAAATATTATTCAAGAATCTTTTAAAGGGGAAAACAATGATGTTATACAAATGTTGCTGTATAGTTTTAATTGTTTGAAGGAGCAAAACTTACAACAATGTTTCTTGTATTGTTGTTTGTATCCAGAAGATGAGAAAATTCCAAAGGATCAATTGATAAGTAGATTCATTTTAGAGGGGCTAATCGATACAAAGGAGACTCGCGAGGCAGAGTTTGAGCAGGGATATGAGATATTAAGCAGATTGGAAAGTGTTTGTTTGTTGGAAAGTGCCATAGACAGCAAAGGTAATCAATGTGTGAAAATGCATAATTTGATTAGAGACATGGCAATGAGGATCACTTATGAAAATCCTATGTTTATGGTAAAAGCCGGAGTTCAACTCAATGATGCACCAAAGGAACATGAATGGCTGGAAAATTTGGACAAGGTATTGTTAAAACTTTATTTACTTGACATTATATATAAAGAGATAATAATTGTATGTTATTTGTTATAATTAAAAGGTTTTGCCTAAATCAAAAGTTATTTGCTAAGGTTTAAAGTAAATCGGCCTAAGACATCTCATAAACTATGATCTTTTGTGTACATGTACACTGATGTTATTTCTAATATAATAATGAACTTATGAATAAGTTCATAAGATTATCTTAATAAATAATCTTATTAAATCGGCCATGATGTTTAGTAAGCGGTGTCAATATTTTAAGAAGTGAACTTATGAATAAGTTACTGTAACAAGATTATCTTAATAAATCACATTTAAATGTATTAACACAATTATCTTCGACGAGCTTTCTTTTTCTTGAAATGTTTTCATGATAGTCGCACTTTTCGTTTAGCTGAATATACCATTTTCTTATTGCATGATAGTTGTTTGGATGATATATTCATATTGGTAATATTTACTCAGATAAAACATTAGGAAATCTAACTCAATTCTTTCGCTTAGTCTTTCAACAGGATGCTATTGTTCTGATTTATGGAAATCTCTCTCAAATTAAGTAAACTTTGACAGCTTAAACTTTCTTTCAAAAACTTGAAATATATAGGAGAATATTTTATTAATTTTTACTGAATTACAAATTAAGTAGAATTTCGATTAGATATTTAAACTCTACAAAATATATAAACTTATAAAGTGCTACTCATATTTCTTAGTCTTGGAATTTCGTTGAATTGTCTTCTCTAGGTTTAGCGTTCTTAAGGTTCTTTTTTCAAAAAAATAAAAAATAAAAAAAAAAAAATATATNTGCATTTTGTTGGCTGGTTAGTGTTCTTAAATTGATTATTATTAGTTATGAGGAGAAAACAAAAATGCTAGCAAGAGGATTTGAACTTGGGACCTTTTTCACATGACATGGAGCACTGCCGGACGGCTGAGCTAAATATGCTTTGTGTGGCAAGCGGTGTCATCCAAATATATTTACCTATTATATTTTCCTTTAATCATTTTCTACACATATAATTTAGAAAATTCTTTTAGCGAAGCGGTGTCACCAACGATAAGAATGAAGAATTTTATTAATACTCCTGATTCAGGTGCCCTTTTGCATTTAGGTCATCGAAAATTTTGTTCCTAACAGGTATCTCTAATGAGGAACAAGATAGCTGAAATTCCAGCAGGAACATCAGCTAAGTGTCCTAAGCTAACAACCTTAATGTTGCAGCAGAATTATCACTTATGGAAAATTCCAGATTCTTTTTTCGAGCACATGAAGGCGTTACGTGTTCTTGATATAAGTCACACTTGCATTGAGAAGTTACCTGATTCTGTATCCGACTTGGAGAACCTCACTGCTCTTTTACTTGCATTTTGTTGGAACCTAAGGTCAATTCCAACTTTGGAAAAACTCAAGGCGTTGCAGGAATTGGATTTGAGTGGCACCGCGATTCAAACTATGCCTGAAGCCCTTGAGACTATGTTGAACCTCAAATCCCTGAATTTGCATGCAATGCGTTGGCTCGAGAAAATACCAATAGGGATATTGTCCCAAATCTCCTCTCTCAAACGGTTAGTGTTATCGCATCATACAGACGTAGAAGGGGAGGAACTAGAGGAGCTAAAAGAGTTGGAAGAATTTCAAGGTAGGTTCTGTAATGTTCAAGACTTCAACCAATTCATTAAAGCTCAAGAAAATGAGGGATGCCTTAGGTTTTATAGAATTTTAGTAGGTCAATATGATGGCTTGGGACCAATGACACAAATCCAATTCAATCATAACAGGTTTTCCGATAAATTAGTCAAGTGTTACGGACTTGGGAAAGAAGATGAAGTGTTATTGCTTCCACAGGACATCGAGCACCTGAAAATTGAGAGCTGCAATAACTTCAGTGGCTGTCTTTCAGATTGTTTGCCGCGTCTTTATGATTCTATAGATTTAAAGTACTTCAAAGTACGTTGGTGCAACAAACTAGAGTATCTTATGAGGATAGAAGAGGGACAAGAATCCGTCTTATTTCATTTTCTCGAGCATCTTGATCTCCTCGAGTTGCATAGTTTCATTGGCATTTTTGATGAATGGGAAACAAGTTTAAGAGATTCTATTTCACTAACTGGTATCTTTTCTTGCCTTAGAATGATACGAATCGAGAGATGTCACAGTATTAAGAAGCTATTTCCAATTGGTTTATGCTCAAACATGCAAAATCTTGAGAGAATATATGTACTCTCTTGTAGTCAAATAGAGGAAATAATTGCAGACGAAAATGATGGAATCATCGTCCTTCCTAAATTGACAAGAATATACTTATGGTCTTTGCCTGAATTGAAAAGCATATGCAATGGAAAAATGGAGTGCAACTCAATCAAGAAAGTGTCAATAAAGGAATGTGATAAGTTAAGGAAATTGCCTTTCTTTTTTTCCCCTGAAGAGGAAGATGAGAAATTTACCATTCCTTCAACTCTTAGAGAGATAGCTATACATTCAAGTGATAAAGAATGGTGGGAATCATTGGATTGGGATAGTCCAAACACTAGAAATGAGCTTCAGCACTTTGTTAACTATTGGTAAGAATTGTGTTCTTGATTGAAGTTAAGGTATTCAGACAACTCAATAAAAGGGCAGCCCGGTGCACTAAGCTCCTGCTCTGCGCGGGGTTCGGGAAAGAGCTGGGCAACAAGGGTCTATTGTACGCAGTCTTATCCTATATTTCTGCAAGAGACTATTTTCACGGCTCAAACGCGTGACCACCTGATCACATGACATAAATTTTACCAGTTACGCCAAGACTCCCCTTCAGAAAACCCAATAAGTTATGTAATAGTTTTTATGCCTATGACTCCAAATGTTTTTGTTTTGGTTTTTTCCTTTAGTCAGCTTCTATAGTTGAAGCTGAATTCTTGGTGGTGTAATTCATGTTGCAATGTCTTTTTTTTTTTTTTTTTTTTTTTT